ACACACAGACACACACACACACACACAGACACACACACACAGACACACAGACACACACACACACAGACACAGACACACACACACACAGACACACACACACACACAGACACACACACACAGACACACACACACAGACACACACACACACACACACACACACAGGTCCAAGCTACTCTGGTTTTGCCTTAGCCCCTTGCAGCCTCAAGGTAAGAATTCATCACACTAAGCGCCATCTTTATTTAGCCCTTGACCACCTCACAAAGAAAGCCCTTTGACCAACAGGGCTCAGAGCACCCCCATGGCACGGGTTATTTGGCCTCATTTTCAGTTAAGGAGATGAAGGTTCGAAGAGGATGACTTTCCCGGAGCACAGCTTCGCAGAATTGTGCTCACGGATGATAAAGCACAAACGGAAGATCGGGGTGGAGGTGTGGTCCTGGGCCTGGGGGCTAAGATTAGTCAGGAGTTTTCTGAGTAAAAGGTCTGGGGGCAGCAGCTGGAGCAGAAGGTGGGACCCGGGAGGCCCCAGGTTCCTGAGGGGTCGAGAGCAGGGGAGGGGGTACATGTGGAGGGGCAGGGTGGGGTGAGACCTCAGATCACTGTGTCTCTGAGCCGGTGAGCTGTTGCGGGGGAGGGACGGAAGGAGAAGCAGTGGTGTGGGAGTCGGGAGAGGACCCTACAGGGAAATCCCCCTGTTGACACCAGATACGTAACCTGGGTCAAGGAGACGTGGATAAGTGAGACCCCCAGGCTCTTGGGGGGCATTGTTCAACCCCTAGCAGGCCATGGGGCTCTAAGGCGGACGCCCCCAGTCCCATGGGTGCGCTCCCAGGAGCCCCCCAGCTCCTGGCCCTCCCCTGCTACTTCCCGGAGGCCTTCCTGCCCTACGAGTGAACTGGCAGTCTGCTTTCCACCATCACCACCTGGACTTGCCATTCATTTGTTCAGCTGGTGTTCAGTGGGCACCTACTATGTCCCAGGATCTGTTCTGGGCACTTGGAAAACAACAGTGGACAGAAATCCCTGCATTCGTGGGGCTTACTGTCTGGTTCCCTTTGCTCTCACTTCTGGTTCTTTTCTGGTATTTATGTCCTGTCCATATCCCCCAAGGGTCTTTTAATCTTGTCTCTTCTATCTTTATGTCTTTGAATCCTCACAACAGGTATTATTATTAACCCCATTTTACAAATGAGGAAATTGAGGCAAATAGAGGATTTTTTGCAAATTCAAACTATTAAGTCGCAGCATTCCCATTCCTCATTCTGCCCTCCAGAAGTTCCTAATTTGATGGGGGAAACCCCCTCAGAACACCCACTGCCTGATGGAGGAGACAGTTCCTACCCTCAGAGTCTGCAATCTGAGGGCGAGAGGAACACAGAAAGAGAAAATAAACACAAACTCTGTGTCCCAGCTGGTCCTCCGACCTCCCAGGTGATCCTGGAGGAGTCACTTGGCTCCATGCCAGGACTGACAAAAAGAAATCAGGGTGTTTGGGTTTCACTCTCTCACTGGAAGGGCCAGTCAAGATTATCCTCAGCCAAAATTGCAAGGAAGCTTTCTGGAGCCTGGGGCAGAATGAGCAGGAAGGAGGAGGCAGGCTGGGCTGGCCTGCTCTGGGTGGGCTCTCTGGGAACGGTTACCCTTCTGCAGGGCCCCTGAGGTTTGGGCTTAGCCCTGCCTATCAGCTCTCCACCCCTGAAATAACAGGTCCCCAATTTCCAAATTCATACACAACCAGTCCAGAAACCGGATGCCAGTTTGTGAATTGCAGGATGTGTTTATGTAACAGTGAGAGCACCTCCCTAAATCTCTGCCCCTTCTCTCCATCCTGGCCACCAGCCAGGCCACTATGGCCCCTCGCCGTAGTTTCAACAGATGTTTGTTGAATAAATGAATGAGGCCCCTTACTGGTCTCCTTGCCTCTAATACAGAGCCCCTTCCACCTGGCCATCACTGCAACCAGCAAGATGTATCCTGAAATCAAATCTGACCCCCTTTATCTCCTGCTTTAAACTCCTTCAGGGCCCCCATTGCTTTTCCTGGTGCCGCCTCTCTCTCCAGCCTCATCTTCTACCCCCTCCACCTCTCTTTCTGGGCTCCAGTGAAGTTTCTCATATGAGCCAGGCCTCCCCATGCCCATGCCCTCTCCTCTGCCCTGGACGTTCTCCCTCTCACCTGGCTAAGTCCTAAAACCTGTTGGGGTTCAAGGCAGACATCAGCTTCTCGGAGAAGAGTTCCACAATTCCCTGTCCCCCCTCCTGAGTCAGACATCCA